TTGGGTCACAGGGCAAATGTGAATTTTCAAGGAAGGCCAGGCCGTTTGCCATATCACATTCTTTGGTGTGATTGTCGATGAAGCAAACGTATATTTGCTATAACAATCGATTACTTTACTTATTTTTATCATTTGAGTAGAGTTTCGAGACTACCAGTAAATCAGTAATAAGAGATGAATTCACCCTATTTCGTTTAAGGTGATGAAGGTGTATATATATAATCATATCATATCTCCACACACACACACACACACACAATTGAACCAGTTCTTGGTTTTTATGGAATCGAGATTGATTTAATAATCGGTCATTGCATACATTTTTAGGCATATTAGCATAGTTTCTTGTAACTTTGTGTACTACACAGTATCCTGCTTTCGCATTTAAGTGCACTTAATTTGTTTGGTATATCATTTATTTGTGGTCTGATTTATCGTGAATTTCGCCTTTTTCGTATGCCTTCAAGTGTGACGAAATGCTGGCAATGCTGATGCTATTTTCAGACTTTTCCTGCTCATGCACTCATACAGTGAGTTTGATGGTCATCTGAAAACATGTGGAATTCACTGTACCAGTTCATAATAGGATTAGCTTTTCTTAATCTTACGGTTAAATTTGGCAATTTCTCTCCTCATCGCACACTCTCCTATCGACTCTCTCACCATCACAATCAATCCAGCTATGCATCAACCTCATGTCATCTCTCTTCCTCTCTGTCTCGATCTGCTTTCATCTTTCCGTCCTCCGCGGGAGCAGCATTGCGCACACACAGTCGTCACCCTTTTCCTGCGCTCCTCCAGTCTCTTGTCTACTCTCCTCTCCGCGTCTTTCCCGCTCGTCCACCGGCCGGTTGGTCGACGTGCATTGGCCCATCCCACCCAGTCTCAGCGCATCCTCTCTCTCCGCCTGCCCCTCCGACGCCCAAACGTCGGTCTCTCTCTCACCCCGCCAATCGCCTCCAGTCCTTCATCTCTCCCGTCACCGCCCAACTCCCTCACCGAACTGTCTGTCTCTCCGGCCTTCACGCAGACCGACACTGGCCGTCTATCCATCTGCCCCATAGACACACACACACAGACACAATGCACACATATAACACACACACAAACACACACACAGACATACATACAGACAGGCCGGCCGGGTGGGGGAAGGAGCCGTCATCAGTTTGCCGTCGCCTCTTAGATGATATATTTGCTTCCTGTGCACGCGCTCTCTCTCTCTCTCCCTCTTTCTTTCTTTCTGCCTCTCCCGCTCTCCGGTAGCCCTGGCCGGGTAGACTTCGAGGCTGGCCATTTGGCCAGTCCGGCTCTTCTTCACACTCTTCTTCGGCTCTCCGTCTTCTCAATCTCTGCGTCCCTCTCGTCGTTTCGCCTCCACGTGCCGACCAGCAGAAAGCCCATTCTGAGCTTAATCCACCGTCTTCGAGACACTTCGACCTGCACACACACACATGCACACACGCACACATACAGACTGGCAGACAAGCCTATCAGGCTCCCTCTTGAGGTCCTGATCGACAACCAACCGCTGTCCGGTTGCCGCCGGCCGAGCCAGCTTGCCTAAAGCGATTCGGACGAAGAGCTCACGTGCCTACATATATGTGTTTGTGTGTGTGTGTGTGTATGTGCGCTAGGGTGTATATAAGCTCTATGAGAGGGCGATCCGTCCGAGGGGGTATGAAATAGAATCGGATGACTGCGCTTGTCAGGCCTTCAGCCTGTGACTAGCAGACAGACAACCAGACCAACCAAACAACAGATTGACTGGCCGGTTATCTGTCCATCAGTCTGTCTGTCTACTTGTTTATCTGTCTGTCTGTCTGACTGGCTGGCTGGCTGGCTGGGTGACTAACCCAAGCTGGAGTCACACTTCGCCTCCGTTCCGGTGGAAGCACTTGTCTGAGCCCGCAACTGTGATTTATGCGTGTACACCAGGCGTTCAGCATGCCGGCTACCACCTGCCTCATCGATCCACGTCTCGTCTTCGCTGGAGCCTCGGCAACCAACCTTTCAGCAAGTCTTCATCATCATCTCGACATCCAACCGTCCGACTCGGCCGCGTCGACAATGTCGACAAGCTCGACGCCGCCGTCGCCGCCGACGACGACACCCGACAACACTTTAACTAATGACCTAGTTGCTACTGTCGCTATGGCAACGGCAAATGAGGTCAACGCCGAGACAGTGTCTGAGGTGGGCTCGAGCGGTCGTGCCGACTTGGCGCCGGACATCGTCCGCCTGGCGACTGGGCGGCTCGAGCCACCCAGTTGCGTTTATCGCGTGGAGACGTACTACACCGGCGCCTGCAACAGTTGCCCCTCCTCCCCGGGCGCCGGCCTCTCCAGTCTCCAGGCCCACTTTTCTCCGCCCCTTCAGCCGGCCTACGCAACCGTCGCGGCTCAGGCCGCCTCCGAACGGCACCCGAGCCTCGAGCCGGTCTCGTCGCACCGCTACCCACCCGGCCTGCCGCCACACCCCCACCCACACGCCCCACTTCCGCCCCACCCTCTGGCGCAACAGCACCAACATCAACATCAACACCAACACCAACAACCTCAGCCGCATCAGCAACAGAATACTCTTGTCCACCATCAACAAATGCACCTAAACCACCACTCACACCAACTTCATCATAATCATCATCACCATCAACAACAACAGCATCAACAACACCAACAACAACACGAGGCTTGTGATGAAAGGCGGCCGGAGAAGGTCGACTTGCTGGTCGGCGGGGAAGTGTTCGCCG